AGCCAGCTGCTTCCTATCGAAGGTTACAAGCTTATTAGAAGTGATCTAAAGCAAGGCAGAGGAGGTGGTTGCATAATTTACTACTCACAGAACCTCCTTGTATCTGAATTCACACTTCCACTTATATGCCTCACTATTGATTCCGCTTGGTAACTCTTGTCCTTCGGTACTAAGCGAACTCTTGTAGGATGTATATACCGCTCACCCGGGGAAAGCTTCACTGATAAGAACCAGTTTGTTGACATCTTCAATTACATTTCCGAACTTACTTCTTTTGATAAAGTTGTGGGTGGAGATTTCAACCTACCAGATATCTGTTGGTAAAACTTAGTAACAAACGAGAAACATGCTGAGTTCAAAACCTCCATCATCACTGGTGGTTGGGAGTAACATGTTCTCGTGGCAACCAGAGGAAAAAATATACTAGGCCCACTTTTTACCTCAGGCACCTCCCAGATAGCTACTGATGTAATTGACGGTCTCCCTGGATGTGATCACAAAATAGTCGGATGTAAAATTATAGCTGAGTTGTCGCATGTGAGGTCTGCGGTGGTTCCACACTTACTGTAAAATGTTAATTGGGTAGATTTCTCAGCTATGCTTAGGGTCCAAAATTGGGACCATTTCTTTCTTTCGTCTGACATTAAGGGAGCCTCTGATATCTTCTATGACAATGTGGCTATGTGCTTAAGCATACTTGCCTCCTGTGATAATACGAGGGCCTCTTCTAAGTACGCTAACAACGTAAAGGACAAGCGGAAAATACGAGTGCTAACTCGAACATTTGAACGTGCTCACGCCGTATAATTGAGACGGACATGAAATACCGCATCCATCTCATCCAGGAAGAGCAATGGGCTGTAAATAGTAGTAATAAAAGTCAACTGGTGACTGCATTACTGAGGAAAAGGAGAGGTGGCAAAACTGACCTACCCTCCCACATCGTCATGCCTGAAGGTGAATGCATTGATTCCCCAATTGTCATGACAGAAGCTTTTAACTCATACTTTGCTAGATCCTTTAATCTTGAAAAAAAACCCTGGAATTGCCAACCGTGTTTCACTTCTCTGAACAAGTCCCAGCGATCGATCTTAGTGTTGCTACGATAAAACGTATGATTACTTGTCTACGACCATCCTACAGACTTGGCCCCGGTGGGATCTCTTCTGCTTTAATCAAACACGGTGGAGATGATATCCCTCTTATAGTATTAAATATCTTCTCTTTGTCTCTCCAGTCTGGTCAATACCACGAACGTTGGAAAATGGCTACGGTTATACCGCGACATAAGTCCGGGTCGAAAACTGACATCCGGAACTACCGCCCCATTAGTCACACAGCCATTCTCTCACGCATGCTAGAGAGAATTGTTGAGGAACATTTGGTTTCGTTCCTAATATCGCACAAACTTCTCTCACCTTCACAGCATGGCTTTCTGAAATCTCGCTCGTGTGTTACCTGTCAAGTTGACTTCCTTAACCATCTAACTGAAGCAATTGACTCAGGTCTTCAGTGCATTGTCATCTTGCTCGACATGCAAAAGGCTTTTGACAGAGTCCTACACAAAAAGCTGTTATGTAAATCAAGTAAGTACGGTGTTACAAGTCCGCTTAACTCTTGGATCTAATCGCACCTAGTAGCACGGTCGCAAGTTGTGGATATCAATGGTTACATCTCTACACCTAGTCTGGTCACTAGTGGAGTGGTACAGGGCAGTGTCTTAGGTCCGTTACTCTTCCTACTGTATATAAATGCCCTCGTTTCTGTTATACAATTTAGGAAGCTGAATTTGTTTGCTGGTGATTTAAAGGTGGTTTACACGTTCCCAGATTTTCAGCGTACCGCTGAACTTAACAATATCCAAAACGACTTGAAAGCCATGGAGAGATGGGCTGATATGTGACGGATGACGTCTGCAACACCGAAGTGTGGAATTCTAGCGTATGGATGTCAGATAGCAGCAGAAGTGTTCAGACTTCATAACGAAATCATTCCAATCAGCCAGCCTGTACGTAACTTAGGTCTAAGTTTGTTAAACTTTAGTGAACATACAAATCATATCGTGAAAATGGCTAAGCAGTCGGTCGACCTCATATGCCACTTGTCAACCTTGAAAGGAATCAGACTGATTGCTTTCGAAATCAGTATCAGGCCTTTGCTTGAATATTGTTGTGTTACGTTCAGTAACTTACGAAAGGGTGACTTGAGAGCAATTGAAAACGTTCAACACGCCTTTACCAAGCGCATATTTGGTTATTCAACTGCTCTTTCATACCGAGAGAGGTACAAGCAGTTCAATCTTGAACCACTCTGGTTATGAAGAATGCAATTAAATCTGTCCTTCCTCCACAAACTCGCGTGGCGGAAAGCATATACTGGAACGTATCAATTGCACTTTCGGGAAAACACCAGTTATGAACTTCAAGACAGTGAAGGTATACTCTATTTACCTAAATTCAAAACCAGCCTAAGGAGCAATTTCTATCTTCTTAGGTGTGGCTCCATATGGAATAAGCTACCAAAGATATTAGATGTACTGAACATTTTTGTATGTTCAAGAAAATGATAAAAGTTTATATGTCAACTGAGAGAGTGAAATGCATCTTAAAAATTTAACTTGATGATGAAAGCTGTATGAAGAAGGGCCGGATCATGTATGATACTGGAGAACATTTTCTCAAAATATATCTAACAAATGTACCAGAGAAAGCACGTTAATCTAGGATGGGCTGCTACAAACCGCTTCTTATGCTATTCTTTAATGCGACATCCTATGCGGTTTTACTCCTTTCAAACTTAATTCATACCAATTGTCTTATGTTTAAAACCGAGAGCAAAATTATTTACTGGTGTGTAGTAGGGAACTATTTTCGTAATTTTCCCCACAAATTGATTAATTCGTAATATTGTTCTGCGATCCCCCTCCGCTACATTTGTTCTGCAATGCTAACCATTTCCCCTTCTTTTCTGGAGTTAACAGTCCATAAACATATACTGGAATTCAATGGTGTCAATAACGGATTCCCTATGTAACTTTTGCCTATGGACAACTCGTACATTTATCTGTCTCTCGCTGTCACGCCACACAATTTGATGGTATGATCGGCTCGATCCATTTTTATGCTGATGTAAAAAACATACCTGCCTATTTTTTACGTTAACGATATAATACCTCTTTCATATAATTCTTCTTTTTCTACATTCTTCCTTATTTCATTGTTGGTCACGACTGGGCTGATCTGTGGTGACGGATTATAACTTCCAGATTATAAAAGACTTTACCTATGCAAGGCACATTGCCACAAATTGACTGGCGTATAAAAAGTGCCATAATTGAATGATCCGCATGACGGACTGGGCTGAGGCTTCATCGCTCATAATACATGTATAAAAGCAACCCTAAAAAGAACACAACATATGATAAACAGGTGATGGCTCATATGCTACTATGCCACACCGGCACGCGGCCAGGTATAGCATGGAAGTGCGGGCGAAAACTTTCGAGGGAATACCTTGCATGGAAGCAGGTCCCCTGGGGACGGTTCCACGAGTGGCAGTATTACTTTAACTGGACATTCGTTTAAACCTGCATTTGTTACTGTTCTTGGTATTTTTTATTTTCTTTAATACCTTAATCCTGCCAATTACTTTAATACCTGTTTTGGATCCATTGTAAAAAGGGTGAACAAACTGATTATTTTTTGCGATCCTGTTGTGCACATTGATCAGACCACATAGTTGGACTGCATCTCGAATCGCCGAGGAATATACCATTTATTTATTTATTTATTTATTTCAGTGCGGCTGAGGTGTCTGGTTAACCTTCAGTGCTCACAGCCGAACGGCGTACGTTCTTTTGGTCTTACCCTGCGATCCACGCATGACAGCTCGATTGCGGCTACGGTGTTTGCTAACGTTCTCTTCTCACAGTCGAACGGCTTGTTATGTCCTGCGATCGTAGACACACATGTCGAGCCTCTGTGCTCCATCTCACTCCTGCCATAAAGCACTTCGCGCCATTGGACGGTTAACAATTCAGCGTACCGGGGTACACGAACACCTGAGTGCAGCCGCTCCTAGCTCCGGACATTACTAACTAAACACCCTGTACATAGGCATGTAACACACTGTTTAAACTACTGTTTTCCACACAATCCATCCCACGAGGCTTGTCAAACCTTGACTTATTTTACCCGTGTTGTGTAATTGTTCCACTGAATTAACCAAAATCACGGGAAGTCAGTGCCTCGTCGGATAAGCGATCGACCACATGGTCGCCAATATAACACTTCACCGCGGAACATGATGCCTGCCATTTCGAAGGGAACACAGTGATAACCTTCACATACTTAAGAACGAACGCCATGAGAAGTGCACAACTGTGTAACTGTGGAGGATATTTTTTCAAAGCTGGCGGCTCCTTTTCCAGCTATCTCTAGCCGAGATGATCGTGAGAAGGGCATGCGGACTACATCCCCAACGATAGTCCGCATCCTCTCTCTTCATGGATAGCAGATGTGATGCTGAACCTCAAAATGAAACCCACCGTGTTGACTTTTAAGCGAATGTATGCGTAACGTGTAGTTAGAGATAAGAGGATACAAACGTTCTCGCAATACGGTAGTAACTCGATTGCCAAAACGATGCACTGGGAAGAGTCAAATAAGAGCTTCAGAATCTTCTTCGTGTACAAAGTGGCTGTACGGGATTCGATAACCGAACTGAGCAGCACTATACATTCTATTCACTGGATATACGATGAAGAAGTACACCGTTCCCAAACCTAGTAACCCCCAAGCAAGTGATCACGCTGGACGGAAGCTACAACCCAAGGGGAACTAAAAGCCCGGAGTACAAGAATTCACTTTTAGACAAACATGGGGCTGTGCAGTCTAAAAAGACATAAGTTTGAGTAGACGAGGAAGTATACTGAACTTCGAGTATGTTGCATGGGTGCTGCACAGACATAGTTATTAGGAAACAAATGACTGTCCGTATCGCTAAAATAGATCACGAAGTGCGTTGAGGTCTGTTTGGACGATCTTACGCTGCGTCCAACAGCTAACCTGGTCCGATGGTCGAGAAAGTAACCCGCGGAGTAGATGGTGCGACAGGTATGGATATACACAAAGGCACAGGGGTGAAGACAGTGCACGCAGCGGATGGCAAGCGGTCACATGACAGATGAATTGATGACGTCTGTTTATCCGTGCACATGTTCTAACAAGTTCTGCTGGTGTAAAAGGATTCGGCTGAGGAGAAAACTTACCAGTGATCTCTTCCATTCTCCTCGAGCCTGTTTCTGGATCCTTGCTCAACTTCACCCTTATGGTACGGACACCACCGACTGCACCGGATCCATTATCCAGAAACTCCTTAGTGGCGATGTTGAATATGCGAGGGTCCTGTCCGAAGCATCGAGTAACTTCGGCGTGTGCGTATTCCACGCGCCATATTCGCGGATATTCAGGCCATGGGTTTTCGTGCGGGTTGCGTGAAGGGGGAGGCGCAGGCCGAATATCCAGTATGGTTATAGACTTGGCCCCCTGAAAGTAAAAGATGTTGAGTCGTCTGAGGGATGTATATGGTGTCCTTCACAATGATCTTAAAGGAGGCAAGACATCAAAACGTAAGTCCAAAATAGTGGAAAAAGCTTAAGATACGGTTGTGCCACAATGACGCGGAAGTTATGTCGAGCTTGGTTGTGTCCTTTAAAGATCAGTGGTCAACCTCTAACATCGCGCCTCTGGCAAAATACAATGACTATTCGTGCTGTGATTGCAACACAATACGCCGATCTCTGGCGTCTTCGTCTACAGCAGCATCCACGCGTAAATAACCGTTCGAGTAGCAGGAAGTTGCTGTCAAAATTATGACTAAGGTGGGTCATTACTAAGTACAGCCTAAGCGTGGCGTGGCATGCCAGAGGAAGGTGTGAAGGGATGCATGACGCGCTCCTTGGAAGAACACCGAGTGGATAGAGACAGGTGGAATTGCGTTCGGTTCTGTCCTTCTGCTCAATACACACCGACTTCGAAAATATGGGCTTGTGCGACAGATTAAAAAGACCAGAGGTGAAGTAATATGATCCTACAAGGGACTCACAACACTAAATGTAAGCGGAAGGCTCAACGAGGTTGCAGGGGTTCAACAGCCCCATAAGACCAGCGTAATGGGGCAATGCCTTAGAGCAATGATTTATAATCGGCCCTAAAGCAAATGCTTCACAAATGTCGTAGGATGGTTAGGGTGCATACTACAACATAGTAATCAGTGTCGGTAAAATTCACCCGAGTTGCGTGACTCACCAATGGGGTTTGGAGTAGCGCATTCGTGAGCATTCCTGCCTGGGGTTTAGGAGGACTATAGCACCGTTAACTATATCACGTAGTGTAAATGTGCCAGGGTATTGTCGAGTCGCTATTTGAATAGCGATTAGGTAAAAGCGATAAGTGCATGCGCCAGAATGGTGTTCCAGGGCTGTGACACTCGGAGAGAGAAATATTTTGCGAACATTCCAGTCAGCTGTATTGGGCATTCGGCTTAAGCTGATGGCTCTTCCGGAATGTGTCTCAGATGTTGCCAATGATGACAGCAAGTGTGGTTAGGTTTATGGAACTTAAAATATATTAGAACATAGCCCCGTAGAAGCCAATGTTGTACTCTGCGCACGTTTGGAGTTTTCAGCCTGAGTTGGTGGAGAAGGCGGACGAAGCTTGGACGTTCTTCGTCGCCCTGCGTTATGCAGCATCGATCGCGGTGAGGTGGTGCATCTGCCAGGTTTGCTACGCTTGCTTGGCGTATTCTGCATACGGCCTCACGTACGCACCAAGCATTTTCGGGAGGATTGAGGTGTTAAACTTCCCGAACGCTAGACAAATGAGGCTGAAGTGCTGGTTTGGTTTCTTGGATGACTTTTCAGCCTACCTCAAACACCCAAGGTCCTCTTGGACGAGCTCGCCGAGATCGCACACATGAGAACCTCGTTGTAGAATTGGTGGTCCTAGGTGATAGTTTTGAGTACTCTGAAGGCGTGTGCTCAGAATTTTGCATTTGGTGGCGTTGAACTACAGCATGTTCTCGATAGACCATGTGTACGCTTTATCCAGAACATTTTTCAGTGCTGCGCGATTCTCCAACGTAATGATTGCAAGCAATATCTTTAGATCATTGGCAAATAGTAGAGTTTGAATATAGCACGTTCGCGAGAAGTTCTTTATTAAGACCAGGAATTGGCGTGATCTGACTACCGAATTTTGAGGTGCGCTGTACTGGACTTCGATTGCTTCAGCTAGGTTGATGCAAACCCTCACGAACAAGAAACTTGACTTTGCAACTCAAAACTGGATGGCAGATTCTGTACTTCTGAAGCTCATGAGATGGAATGCGCTGATCCAGAGCAGAGGTAACCAACCTACCGTCCACAGGCCGGATGCGGCCTGCGACGTCATTCCATCCGGCCCGCGAACGACACTTGATTTTGAACACTTAACTAATTCACGTGTCTATCCTAGCTCTGTGTGTAGGCCTTCGAGCTAATGTACTTTCGATCAAGTCATTGCATGACGCAAGTCTGTTTGAACACGTTCATGATTTATCACCACTGCATCAGAGCTATGTTTTGCCAATTCATGTCGTTTATCAACTTCGACAGTTTGAGCGCTGTTCTGCGTGTAGCCAATTGGACGGGACCATTTACACCGCAGTGCCACACTTCGCACTATAAGCTCGATTGCGTGTTGCATTTTTGACCCTGAACATCCGTCTGATCCCACCCACCTGCTTGCGCATTAGTGTGCATGTGACCCAAGCATTTGTCTTTTACGTGCATGCGCGTGGCGTTCGTGCGGCTGTGCACGAAATTGATCCATATGACATAGGCAAGCAACACTGTGGCCTAGTAAACCGCATGGAAGCCTCTTGTGAAGGTGAGCATGTCACATCCTCCTGATAAGTTTCGAGCCCATGACGTTCATGGAAAGTGAAACCTGCTAACTAACAATGGAAGGATGCTACAGGCGCTTCAACGCAGCTCAGAAATCCGCTCACTGTCGAGACTGCGAAGCGTGCGTAGTGCCGGTGATAAACAGATGGGCGGAAAAATTGTCGTCGGGCGATTTCGGTGTTTCTGAGGAAATTCGGTTGCCACTCTCGGAACTGCAGTTGAAAACCATGCCGCAACTTGCTCATTTCAGCCAGCCGTATTCACATATTTTGCTATGGCCCTTGTGTAATATACGTATTGAAATAAACCTCACATGCATTTGGTGAGCCGTAACTTCACCAGCATTGGCTAGTTATCTACTTTGCAGGTGTTCAAATAGGATGCCAATTGCATTTCCAATTCAGCGTCTCTTACGTTTTCAGCTCAGCTGAACTACATCGCATCTTGTGCCTACTAAGACGAGGAAAGTGGAGGCAGGATGTCGCGTTTTCAACGAAGAATGGGCAGTGAAATACATCGTAGAGACAAAAGACTTGAAATGCAGCTGTCATACGCTGCAAAAGTATAGCGATTATCATATGATTCGAAATACTGATGATGCCACCGAGCGAAGTGGTGCAACGTTTGCCATTAAACTACTCAACTCGAAGAACCAATCAAAATCTTAAGAAATTATCCTACACTAAAGATTCGGAGAATCCATGCCCGAAGAGATCTGAGTACATGAAACGTTGTTTTGGAACATAAAAATTCTCTTCATAAGTGTACTGAAAATGAAGCTACCACTGGTACAAGTTACAACATAATTCATAAGATGGGTGAACGAGGAAAACCGTTTACTGATGGTAACTTGATCAAAGAGTGCATAATAGACATAGTGAATGACTTGTGTCCTGAGAAGGCCGATTGGTTTTCCACTATCAGCCATTCGGTAAGTTGTGCGGAGAACAGAAGAAGTTGAAGTGAATCTAGCGCTGCTGTTAGGCCAGAAAGCTACGGAATTTTGTGATTTTCTCTGGCACTGGATGAGTCTACTGATCTGTCGAACACGTCACAACTTTTCGAGTTCATTCATTGTGTCAATTGGAGCTTTCGAATAACCCAGTTAGCGTCGGTCTGCAGTATGCATGGATCGACAACTGGAAAGGATATTTGCGGGAAGTGCACAAACTTTTGCAATATTACAACATTCCGTAAAATCGAATTTGTGGTGTGACAGTTGATGGTGTGCGGACGGGGCTAGTAGTGCAGATGAGGACTCGACGGGAAGATTTGGAAATTCTGGCCGCTCTGTTCGTTCACCGCATCCTATATTAGCAAACACTGTTGGAAAGACTTAGTTATATCTTGTATCGTTTCTGTCAACAACTTCATTCGCCAACGTGCTCATAGTTATCGTCAGTTCGTCTTTTCTGGAAGACATTGATTATGAATCATTTGCTTTAACTTACCACACATCATTGCGATGGCTCAGTTGCGGTAAATTTATAGTACGTTATTACATGCACTGAAAAGAAAAAGCTGCGTTCCTGTATGACCAACAGATGATACCTGGCTGTCTACTTTGACATTAATGGTCAACAACACATCCCACATAAATGTGCTGAAAGTGGAATTGCAAGGAAAGAACAGCCTTATCTTTGATATATACAGAATCAACAAAGGATTTCGGTGAAACTCGTCATTGTTTGAAACACAAACCGAAGGAGAAAATCTTTCTCATTTTAACTGTTGCAAACAGTTTTGCGCCACCATCGTCGAAGACGCCTTGCTCGAGCATATGAGGGCAATTATTGGAGAGCTGAAAAATTATTTTTGAAGGAATTTCAGACCATGATAGAACTAAGAGTGAAATTCATTTATCCCAAAATCCGTATCCTCGCATCCCTGATGTCGTTCCAGATTAAGTACAGTCAGTGCTTACTGATTTGCAAGCAAATGACCTTTCCAAACAGAAGCACAAGTAAGGAGAATTTGTCAGATTATACCGCCACCAAACTGAGGTTGAATACACGGTACTGAAAAACAATTGCAGCTGATATGGCATCCGTGAATGGAAACACTATATCTGTGAGCAAACAACTTCAAAAATGAAGAACGAACTCAACACATCAAAAGAGATCGACAGAAAAATATTAAAAAGTAAACCATGTAATCGTTTCCAATCATAACAAAGTAAACAAAGATGAAAGAATGAAAGCCATACAACAAATTTACGTGCCCAAGAACAATTGTTCAGCCATATCCAGCTTCCTTATATAGGTACGTAAATGAGAAGTAAATATAGTTAGTCTGAAGAAAGAAAACCAATGAGCGTTTAAATTTACCTACAGTGGCTCGCTTCTGGTGAACGTCAGTCATTTTGTTTGTTGTCCACAACATCCAATAACCATCCAAGGTTTAGAGAACTTTGCAAAATATGAATGCGCGGGCGGAGACAAGAATTCCTCTCTCACCTTAGTGGGAGGACGTATGGAATTCTCGGCAGACGAGTGATTTAGTGAAGGGTTCAGCCGAGTGCAAGCGCAACCTCTAAAGAATCACCAACTTGAGGTCGTTTTGAGCATCGAGCAACATGAGCACAGGCAGCCACAGCGTGTT